AACCTTTTTTCCCTTTTTTAATTCCTCCCCCAGAAAAAAAAACCCCGGGATGAAAAAAGAAAAAAAAAAAAAAAAAACCCCCCCCCCCCCCCCCCCCCTCTTTCTATTACAAGATCAATAAAAGAACCAGCAATAGTATCAATACAAATATCAAAACTCCGATACAACAGCTGCTCAGCCGATCTTCATTCTTGCGCATTACATACTGCAGTTTGGCCATACCAGTCTGCAGTCGGTTGCCTACCCGATCCGCTAAGTCATCTACCACCTCTAGCATCTCGTTTTGCTCCTCTAACTCTCGACCCATATCGTCCGCCTGACGACGCAGGTTACCAACCGTATGAAACACGCCGTCAAGATGTCTGTCTTGCTCCTGCATAATCTCCATTTGCTGTTGTTGCTCAAACTCAGTGTATGCATCGCCGCCGTCGCCGTCGCCGATCGCAAAGGAGCTCGGGTCCGGCAAATCGCCGCCTCCACCACCTGCTGCGCTGGCGATGTTCTTGTTGAGCTCCTCGCGCATGTCCTGGATCTCGGCGCCGACTTCCTGGACGAGACGCTTCCGGCGAGAGGCCTCATGGTCGGAAATGCCGAACTGGGAGGGGTTGGACTCGATGGCTTGAACAGAGGCCACGAGGTCGGCGAGATCTTCTGCGAGGGAAGACAAGGCTGCTTCGAGCTCGGTGCGTGCGGATGTCAGTTCTGGGGAGGTGTGTGAGGAAGCGAGGGAGCGGATGCGTAGGTATGAGGCGAAGAGCGGCCGGATGGACGAGATTTGGCTGAGGACATCTCTGCGAAGGGGTGATTTTACTGTTAGAAAGTGTAGATTGATTGAAGTTTGAGGGGATCGGCGTACTGTTGGACTTGGAGGAAGGGATCCTCCTCGTTTGTTGAGGACATCATCCTGCTGTGGCGGATGGTGGATCAAGATGCATGAGCTCGATATTCGCGTATGCGCTGGATTGTAATGAATAGCGTAAAGTGATTGAAATTTAAGAGAAGCGCAGGAGTAAATGGCAAAAGAGAAAGACAAAGAGAGAAACTCGCAATTAAACCCAAGCTCAAAGTTGGAAGCAGATGTAACAACAAGCTCAAGGTATGAAGGATGACGTTGCAGGGAATCTTGCGACGGCGAAACAAGGTGTGGCCCCAAGGTGAGGCGGTACGTACCGCGACGGTTCCGGTGAGGACACCGAAAGGGGGACAGCGTCCACAAATTACTAGTAGTATGCTTGGAATGAGTTGAGATGAGGGAACCAGTTATCATTTACAGGTTTTAAAAGGCCTAATTGTATTCGAAACACAAGCGAAGTACTATGAGTATATGACTGTCGTTCGTTTTATGGAAAATAAAGAAGCGACACAATTAGAAGTTATTTCCTCTTTTGAATACTTGCCGGTTGAACTAATTGTCCTGGTGAGGAAAATTCTGGCGATTTTCAACTTCGTTTTTTTCTCAAGCTAATTCCTCTTCTAGCCTTTAGCGCTCGACACATCCCGCTTCACAGGGACCTGCAACGGTGAAATTCACGAATAGAAGATATACGGCGCTTCTTACTTTCTTTTTTTTTCCTATAACAACAGAACTTTTGGTCCGTATCCACTCCGTTACAGGGTAAAGCAGGCTTTGCTCATAAAGGGAAAATACCAACACAGCCATGATACCCTCTCGGCCGCTACCATGCAGTGAGGAGTTTTCCACTCCGCAAGAGTACATCGAAGCTCTTTTGAAGTTCGTACAGAACACGGAGATATTCCAAATTTTCTGCGGAGGCGTTCACATCCTCGACTTCTTCACCTCCGACCCGGGTATCTTTCACTCGGCCCTACCTGAAGAATGGAAAGAGTTTCTGTTATCCTATGATACGATGAAGCTGCTTGACCTCTTTCTGAGAGATGATTTGGACAATCTCAGTTTCGAAGAGGGCCAGGAACCGCCGGAGAGTCTGGTTGAGTATGCTAGAGCGTTGAGAAGGTTCTCGCTGAGGAGAGAATTTGCGCCGCGGCAGCAGAAGCTGCCCGTCTTGCCAAGATCTGTGTCCGTGGGAATGAAGCCTAAAAAGATCCACGAGGTTGTAAACTTTGCAGACTACGTCGACACACTCTCAGAGGATATTTCAAAGCAGACTGGGAGCGAGATATCGCATTTTGTGGACTTTGGCAGCGGCCAGAATTATCTTGGCAGAGCACTGGCCAGCGAGCCTTACAACAGGCATGTCGTCGCCGTCGAAGGCAGAGATCACAATGTTACGGCGGCCAAAGTGTACGACCTGACGTCTAAGCTGGCGATTCGACCAAAGATGATGAGGAATAAGAAGATGTGGGTTAAAGCCCAGGAAACTCTCACACCGGAGCAGCAAAAAGATCAGGATGCGATACGAGCCGCGGTACAAGAGGTTGAGGGGGCAGGTAATTTTGAATTTCAGCCAATGAATGTCCAAGAAGCCGAATACGTGGCTGAGGAGGGCAAAGGAGGCGTTCAATACATCTCAGGAAGACTCGACAGCGGAGATCTCTCAGAGGTCATAGAGAGTATCGAACATAAAAAACCCGATGGCGAGACCGAGAAAAACCTCAGCCTCATGGCTGTTTCCATCCACTCATGCGGCAACCTCTCACACTTTGGAATTCGATCCCTCATCATGAACCCGGACATACGCGCCGTTGCAATCGTCGGCTGCTGCTACAACCTCATGACGGAAAAACTAGGACCTCCAACCTACAAGCAGGCCTATCTACGCCCAAGCCTCCAGGCCCTTAACGGAAGAATAGTCCGCGAATCCGAAAAGCGAGATCCGCAGGGCTTCCCCATGAGCCAGCAGTTCTCGTCCTACGAAGACAACGGCATCCGCCTCAACATCACAGCCCGCATGATGGCCTGCCAAGCACCGCAGAACTGGACCCGGGTCGAGAGCGACGGCTTCTTCACACGACACTTTTTCCGCGCAGTCTTACAACGTATATTCCTCGACCGCGGCGTCGTGAGCCGCGTGTGGCACGATGATAACGATGATAGCCAGGGCGACAAAGACAGAGAGGCGACCCCTTTCAACATGAGCACCAACCCCGTGGTCATCGGGTCGCTCCGCAAGAGCTGCTACGCGTCATTCAAAGCCTACGTGCGGGGAGCGGTGGAGAAGCTGACCACGAGCACCGAGTACAAGCAATATGCCGACGTGATGAACGAAAAGATGGCGGGCATCACGGACGAGGAGATTGAGACTTACGAGGCCCTGTATCTGCCGCGCAAGAAGGAGGTCTGCGTCATCTGGTCGCTGATGGCGCTGAGCGCGGCGGTGGTAGAATCGCTCATTGTGGCGGATCGGTGGACGTTCCTAAAGGAGCACAAAGACGTTGTCAAGGATGCCTGGGTGGAGACGGTGTTTGACTATGGCGAGAGTCCACGGAATCTGGTTGTTGTTGGGATAAAAAAGTGATGGTGCTCAGTCATAGAGAGATGCCAAGAAGAGGAGGACAGAAGATGGTTAGAGTGCAATCAACGGAAGGGGGAGAGATGGGCTGGAAATATCATGCAACTTCATGCTTGAAGCAATGACGAATGAACCGATGGAATATACTGAGTAGCGTGCTTTACCTGTCATTAGATTGAAGTGTCGCAGAGAAATGCAAGTACATGCCTATTTGAAGCATGGGGATACAATTGAGGGGTATTATCATATACGAAGACATATACGGAGTATCAAATGCCGATTCATGGGGTGTAGTATGGCTGAGCGGCATCTCACTATCAGCAGGAAGAAGGTGTGGCAGATGAGCCGTTTTTGAAGAGTCTGATAGCGTAGCATTTACACAGTCTGTTATTAGAGCCCCAGTGAGGAGATTGGATTCTTGAATGGTTCTGTTATCGCTTCCGAGGCATTTTCGAGCAGATTACAAAGTCTAGATATCTCTCTCCCCCGCCGTTAACAGATCCCCAGTCTTTGCAAAGCATCTGATCTAAGTTATGGCTATGATGTCAAGGAAAATTAAACGTTTACAGCTATGACTGAAATGCCAAGTTGAAGGACACAAGTCAAACTATCCGATATTTTCCTACGAGATTAATGATAAAGCTCGCTGATTTGAAAAGGCTTTTTGAGGTTGGTAAATCAGCTCTTGAACTAAGTCCAGGGTCTGATCTGTGGAGCACTTGGCGTGGGCCAACAGCCTGGTGGGACAACACCAAATGATGGAAATCTAGAGAGGCCTTTTGTAAGTTTGACTTCCCTCGGCTTTACACAAAGCGTAAAGTCAATACGCAAATTTTTCTATCCATGTGATTGTCATAAAATTTACCCAATAGGAAGCCACAACAGGAGATTAAAAGAATTGACTGGATCATATGGATGTGGCGAGACACGCGCTGTGGCGCTTCATCGCCATACAATGCCATGATTTGCCATGGCCATGGTGCTCTGAGGGGTCCGTAAACTGAGACAAAGGACCAAGACAAAAGGTGACGAGTCAACCTGCCATGCAGGGCTGACATCAGCCTTCTGCCACGGAGAAAGTAGCGAGCAGCCTGTGCTTAATGTAAAGCCTGCTTGTCGGCTACAAGCCTCAAACAATGTGACGCTAGTGGCGCGCCTCGTGGACGGTTGGAGATGGCAGAAGTCGAATGAAATCCGACCGTCTGGTTGGTGGTGCTTATACGGCAGTGCGTGCTAATAGTGATAGGTAGGCATTAGCAATCATAACAATCAATGCATATATCATCACACCAACTTGTCAGCCTTAACATGGAGAGAAGGATCAGACTGTGGGCAGTGGTCAGCACGTTATCAAAAGCGATTGGGCGTTGCAGCAGTAATGGAGGGATGGGCTTTGAGAAGAGAGGCTGCAATGCCAAGACATGGCGTGTCGGTCGTCTTTTCCGCCCACCCACCCAACTGTCACGGTCACGATGCTCGACCGTTGCGGCTAGCTGGTGTTTTTGGATCCTGACAGGACAGTTGGCCGAGTCTTGGCTCTGCAGCCCATGGAGCAGTCGACCTGGGCAGCTTCTGTTTGAATTCCGGGCGGCGCATTAGCTGTCCATCACTCGCGCTTGAACCTGCGTTATGGATGTGAGTTAGCGGCGCCATCCCCTTCAGCCATGCAAAAGCTCACCACTCGGGCCTGGACCGTGCCACCATCATCCGCATTGACATCACATCACCATACCCGGATCGCCTCTGCAGAGCAGCCCATGACGAACAGACGTGTTCCATGGGCCAGGCGGTGCCAACAGCGTCCCTCCACCTATGTCATGTCTATTCCAACGCTCACCCAGAAACGCTGTCGCGCACCTAGACGCCCCAAGCCAGCCTCTTTCTCCACCAGACTTGGATTGTACTGCAGCGCCTCTCCCTCGGCCCTCTGCGTCTCCCCTCCTCTTTGTAGACGTGCTTGAACCAGTGCGTTCTGCGGCCGTCCGTGTCCCATCTGGCACAAACTTCCGCACCGGGTTGGGTCGAGCCGTTGTCCCGCTGCAGGCTTAGAGGGAGTAAAGGCATCGAGCGGCCGCGTGCCAGGGCATTGTCCCCCAGACGTAGCACTGCATGCTGTGTCTTTGTAACGCACACACTTATCTGCACGTACATGGATGCGTCCTTTAGCTACCGGTATTGTAATCTGGCAGAGGCAACGGGTGTTGGTAGATACATCCATTACCTACCTTACTCCATACTGGCACAGGAATCCCGAGCTTCAGGACCCTGCCCCTGCGCCCCAGATTTTCGCAGCACCTTGCCGGGCTTCCAGCGGCTCCCCGCTCCGCTGCGTTGGGAAATGCTCGAATGGGCTGCCGCGATCAAGGCCTGTTCCAGGGTCCTCGCCTTGTGTGGGGGGACCTGGCCTGTTCCCTGCTCGAGTGGCGTTTAAGCCCGGCTGGATGATGTCTTTCTTGTCTTGGGCCTGGGCTCTGCTGGCGCTATGTCGAACCTGGTGGCCGTGAGTAGTAATTAGTAGTTAGTATTGGCGCATCTGCTCCTTAACCTGCTGTCTCGACGCCAGGTCTAGATTCTTGCTGCGTGCAGAGATTCCACCGGGGTTCGCACCTCATGGCTCATTCGCTCCCGCTAGTACAAACGCGCCGTTATGTAGGGGAGGGGGATTTGCCGATGCTGCACCTCCTCTTCGTACACCGTCGATTGGGCTCGATAGTATTTATAGACGGCTCGGGCCCCTTCTCTCCCTGCTCGTAGACAGTTCCGATTGATGCCTGCGTCGTGTTCTTGGCTGGGTATCCGCTAGCTACCCGCTGAGAGATACTGACCCAGCGTTATCAGTGACGCCTCCAGGCCAGCTCCATATACCGTTTATAGCACACGTAACCTTGCCTTATCACTTATCAGCGCCTTCCACCTCCCGGTTTGCGGCGCTCCGACTGACTCGCCGGCCTCGGTCTTCGTTATCGTGACAAACTTTATCTTTCTTCATATTTTTTCCAAGTCTCTCTTCTTTATTTCAAATTCTTCATCTTGTATGGTCTTTTTCTCTGTGTTTTTAATACCGCGAAGCTCTTTACATTACTCTACTACATTGTGTACTCTCGGGGAATTTGGCATAGGCTAGGAATCTCTGCTTGGTCCTATGATTAGGCGTTGGCTCGCCGACATATCGGGTCTGGGAAGCCGACGTCGATAACGACAGCTATTGCGCCATCTTGACAATTGCGAGATCAACGGCAACAATCATCTTCTATATAATTCCTCGTGTCCTTCAGCTTCACCTAATCTTTGTTGGGATTTACTTTGTCAGTCTTTTGTCCTCTGCGAGGGGACAGCATCGAAGCTGCGATGAACACTCACACTCAAGTCTCGTTCCTTGTAAGTTGGCCAAGCCACTCTCTCGTGGCTGCGTTTCCTAATGACACTGGACCGTCTCTAATGAATTTCCCAATTTACTTTTTTTCCTCCGTGGTTAACAAAAACAATTTCCTTATCATACAGCTTTGACTCTTCAATCGGTGCTAATTAAATCTCCACTGATAGGACGGGACTTACACGCTGATCCACATACCTCTCGAAATATATCCGGCTCTGTTGCAACCTATTCTTCGCATTCTCCTCCCCCAGACACAGAGCCTTAATTTTTCTCGAGATTCAACAGAATACGAGCTCAAGGGTCTCACGACAGATTTCCAACACGCCTTCCTCAACATTAGCGTCACTCCGATTGAGTGCTCCGTCGTCTGCCACAGCTCATGGGCCAAAAACGTCTTCGAGCCTGCGCTCAATGCTCTCCCGAAACATGTTAGCAAAAGCGTGTCCATCTCTGAAGATACCTTCATGATCCTGGCGGTGACAACTGCCGGCTTGGATCCTGGTGGTCGTGTTATGGAGCTTAGTTCACCCCTGGCCTTTGCGGGAATACCCATCTTCTTCATCACCACATATTATTCCGACTTCATTCTTGTTCCTACAAAAGAAAAGCTTGAAGTTGTGCTGGCGCTGGATGCCAAAGGCTTTGAGCTTTCAGGGGACCACCATTCCACATTTGTCAACTCGTCATATGCTCCCAGAAAGTCTGACGGCGATTTGCCTCAGCAGCCCCCTGGAACCCCTCCACCCTCCAACTATGACGAGCTTCAAGCACGGACCTTTGACCTCCTCCTCAAAAACAATGTTAAGCCTATTGTCGAGGTGGGACTCGAGCTTGTCCAGTGCTCCGGCCGTGAAATTTCGCCGCTCATGAATGCTTATAATACGACCCGGCCGTCCTTGAGCCGGAAAAGCTCGGCGGACTATCGTCGCTCTTGGATAACACATGTTGATCCAAAGCTTTATACGTGCATCGTATCTGCGCTTGTGTCTCAGCCGAGATTTCTCTCTCTCACGCTTGCGCAAGATGATCCGCCGTCTCTGCTGCTTGATAAAGCCTTGCTGCCTATTTTCGACGACTCGCTCATGGGCGATGTCAGAGGCTGTTTAATACCAATCTTCCTTGATCTCAGAAAGTTGCCTGCCAAGTCCACGGGTATAGTATGTGGTGTTGCTGGGCGAATTGCCAAAGGTGCTGATGCCAGTGAGAGCTCAGAGCTTTCCTATCTCTCTACTGCCCGTGCCGGCACCGTCATCTTGTCTGAAGTGCAATCGATCCGAGCAATGTGCATTCTGACTCCACTACTTTCAAAATGACCGCAAGATGCGTATCAACTACCGGAAAAAAAGAGAAAAAAAAAACACATATGCTTCATGGATATATATTGCTAGGGCACTTGATATTTACTATTTTTCAGGTTCATGTTTTTCGGCACTCCTACCTAGGGAGGAGATATTGACGGTATATATTGGTTGATGCTACCTCTTTATTGTCCTTATTCTGGTTTAAAAGAGTCTTGTTAGAAGTTTGTTAATGAAGAGAGAGGGAATGAGACAAAATGGTGAAAAGGACTCCTCCTTTTTGGGTGGCTCGGCGTTGAATTGAATATAGGCTGCGCGTGCCATTTCGAAGATACCTACTTGATTTGTTTTGCTGGTTGGTTTATATATGGTTGATATATTACAAGAAAGTTTGTTGAAATCTTTGACTGAATGCGACTAGAGCGAAGTTTCAACGCAACTGTTTAGACTCTTTCCAATAAACGCTTCTAGCCAAATATCTACGAGACATGCTACGATATATAACGCTCCTCCTCTTCGCTCTCAACACCACCATCACCAATCAATATAAAACCACCACTCTTCATCTCTCACTTCCCCTTCCTCTTCTCCCTCTCCTTCCCATCCCCCATCCCCGCCCTCACAAGCCCGTCCCTCGCCACGCTATTAATCAACGCAAACCTTCTCGGCCCCAGCTTCACCCCGCCATACCACCTCGTCACCACAACCATCGCATCCCAAACCTCCATCAGCTGCAGCAAGTGCAGCAATCTGCCCCCCGCCGCATCTTCCCCGTCATCATCACAGTCATTATAAATCACGCCGCCTGCGCCGCGGATCCGCCACGCTGTAATATTATGCGTTGCGGAGCGTATGCGCTTGTCTGACCAGAGGAGATGCTGCAGGAAGAGCTTCGCCTCTGCTGGGGATGTAACTCGCGCAACGTGGGCTACAAAGGTCGATTTATTCTCCACGACGACTTCGGAGAGCGTCCATGGCGGAGGCGTCATGGTTGCGAAATCCACTTGGCCGGCGTTGTTGTCAACCGTCCTTTCGCCGCGATCTGCATTCCGGCCTTCTCCGTCAACGTCGTCATCTTCTTCCTGTTGTTGCCGGAGCAACTCTTCTTGCTCCTTCTCTTCCTCTATCCTTCTTGAGAATTCTTCTACCGCGTCGAATAGACATACGCTGCCTGGCTGGAAGACCGTCCCCAGAGCTTCCCTAAATACGCCCAGGTCTCTCGCGCCGGCGCCTTTTCTACCTCCGGAACTATGTTGTGTCCCTAACACACTTGGTGGCTCAGCAGGATACGAAGCCGGAAATTGTAGTCTCAAAGACGAAGACTCATCGCCTGGTAGTTGTAAGATGTATGTTGCTGATGAGGGTGCTGGGGTCTCGTCTTGATCCTCAGAGGGGATTAGACAGCCCTCGCCGTAGATGGAATTTAAAGCCTCTACCTCATCACGGAGGTCCTCGGACATTTCTTTGAAGCGATGAATAGAGAGAGAGAGAGTTAAGATTAATTGGCCGCCGCTTGGATGCTTGATGTGGGCTGTCGTACTTTTAAGAGATCGTATACATGTCTTTTCACTTGATAAGCTGGAAGTTCGGGGTATGGTTTTCACACAGTGCATATATTGGCATAGTCAACGTCTATCACACTGTATTCGGAAATGCGATACTATGTAAAGTTCTTGTTGAGATAAACGCATTTCGATTAAGGCTTGTAGAGCAACAGCTCTTGATTTTAACGAAAAGTAATATTGACATTTGACATTGAGCTGATACAATATAAGGCGGCGCCTTGAAAGTCTGGCCGTCTTCTACCCGTCCTTGAGATGCAGCATTGTTCTAAGTGCCCTCCAGCTGCACTGTACATATACACGCGCGACCACTTCTACAGATACTTGATTGAGATGGAATAAAACCCGCCTCGTTTACTCGTCAGCAACGGACGCAAACTTGTCCAGCATCTCCTGCTGGATAGCCTCGTACTATAGCAAACAGTGTGTTAGCGATGAGAGCATTCTTTTCTGTAATGTAGGCAAGGAATAGCAGGAACAAACCTTCTTGACAATCACGTCTTCACCATCGGTGGGGACCTCAAACTTCAGTTGTCGCAGCTTAGCTTGCAGGTCGCTTGTTGACTCGCGCACCTTTGCCCAGCTCTGGCCCTGAGTAACGGCCTTTTGCGCCTCGTCGTAGTAACCAACCATGAGCTTCATCATCCATTCCGTCTTCCAGAGAGGGCAGAACTGGTCATAATCGGAGTAACCGTTCTGCTGCAGGAAATCTTCCTTGATCAGAACAGCGAGATCAAGAGTGATTTTGTCGGGGTCGGACAGAGCACTCTTTCCGACCAGCTGCACAACCTGATCCAACTCGTCCGAATCGGAAATGAGCTGCTTGACGCGGTCTCGCAGTCTGGGAAAGTCGGGGTTGTTCTGCTCGTACCACTTGTCCAAGGCCGTGTTGTACTTGCTGTATGAGACGCTCGTGTTGATGGAGGGGAAGTGCTTTCGCTGAGCAAGCTTCTTGTCCAAACCCCAGAAGACCTGGACAATGTTGAGAGTTGAGGTGGTGACAGGGTCTGAAAAGTCACCACCCGGAGGGCTGACGGCACCGACAATGCTGACACTGCCGCTGCGTTCGGGTGATCCCAAGGTCTTGGATCGGCCAGCTCGCTCGTAGAAGGAAGCGAGCTTAGCACCAAGATAGGCAGGGAAACCCTGATCAGCAGGCATTTCACCCAAACGACCAGAAATTTCACGCAGGGCCTCGGCCCATCGAGACGATGAATCAGCCATCATGGCGACGTTGAGACCTTGGTCACGGAAGTATTCGGCGACAGTGATACCAGTGTAGATGGAAGCTTCACGAGCGGCGACGGGCATGTTTGAGGTGTTGGCAATGAGACAGGTTCGCTTCATGATGGGCTCTTTGCGGCCATCAACCTCAATGGTAAGCTCGGGGAAATCTTTCAAGACTTCAGCCATTTCGTTTCCACGCTCTCCGCATCCGACATAGACGATGATATCACTGTTGGAGAACTTGGACACAGACTGACTGATGACAGTCTTGCCGCAGCCGAAAGCGCCTGGGATGGCAACGGTTCCGCCCTGGACACTGGGGAAGAGAGCGTCAAGAACTCGTTGTCCAACAACGAACGGCTGGTCGGCCGTCAATCGCTCCGACGTGGGACGGGGAACTCGAACGGGCCAGCTCTGCATCATGGGATACTCCGTCTTCTTGCCGTCGAACTCTACCTCGAGAATCTTGTCCACAACAGTGTATTCGCCCTTGGGGGCAATCTTGGTGATGACACCTCGAGCGCGAGGAGAGAACAAAATCTTGTGAACTGCCAGGAAAGAGTTCTCGAAAACCGTACCCCAAACATCACCACCGGAAACATGATCGCCAACCTTGAGCTGAGGAGTGAACTCCCACTTCTTTTCTCGGTCAAGGGCAGGAACAGCAACGCCGCGAGGGATATAGATGGACTTTGATATCTTGGAGATGGCCTCTAGAGGTCGCTGGATACCGTCGTAGATGCTGTTGAGCAGGCCGGGGCCCAGCTCGACGGACAAGGGCTTACCTGTCCGAGCAACGGGGTCACCAACCTTGACACCGGCTAAGAGATCTTGGTCAGTATCATTGTGTCTTTCTTTGTGTGTATCAATCGTCTCGATTTTCGAATGTGGAAGGGCAGTGGAGTTCAGATGTCACCATACCAGTTTCTTCGTAGACCTGGATGGTGGCCTGGTCGCCGTTGATTCGAATAACCTCACCAACGAGGTTGTCGTGGCCAACTCTGACCTATATAAATCAGTCAGTGCATGTTTTGTAATCATGGCTCAAATGCAAGATGTCTTACCAATTCGTACATGGCAACACCAATCATGTCTTCGGCGACAATGACGGGACTGCGGCTGGGTTAGCTACGGAGCTATATTCATGATGCCGGCCGCTGCTGGCTATCTCGAGCTTGACTGACCCTGAGATGGAGTAAATCTTGCCTGCGCAAGCTTGTCAGTAAAGTCTGCACCCTCTCCTGGACACATGTCCATTTCATCACGCTTTTTCTCACCATAGTGAATGGCATCGCCATCTGATTCTGTGGTTTTCTGTGACGCCATACAAGTCAGCTTCGTAGTGGTTGACGTAGCGGGGCATTCGCATCAGCCTCGTCGTTTTGTCTCGATCCCGCCACAGCTGCTGCAGCTACAGCCTGTGCCAGGCTGATAGAGTGTGCCGGCAAACGACGAGCAAAGGGGGAGCGGGAGGGCGCATACAGAAGGCATCTTGGGCGATTGAAGAGGAGGAGCGTCGTCGAGCTCTCGATCGGGGGGGACAGAGGACGACTGAGACGGGCGAGATGGCGATGGAGAAGGAGATGGAGGTGGAGAGTTTCGCAACAGCAGCGGCAGCTTGATGGTTGCAGGAGCGCCAGGGCTCGGCGCCGGTGGAGGCGATGATGTAGCGCTGGCAGCGCCTGGAGCAGCGCCAGCAGTCCCACCAGCTCGAGCTTTGGGGCCGCTAACAACAAAACTGGCCCCCGAAGCGATGGCAGCAGTGCTCCCAGAAGTACCAGGCCTAGCGACAGCAGCAGCACCAGTACCCGTATCTGTATCTGTACTGTCCACGAGGGACTGCAAGCCAGGGGCGGATGCGCTGCCGTAATCGCTTTCAGAGTTGCTGCTGTCGTCGTTATCGATGTCACTGTCGCCTTTGGTGCTGCCTCCTTCGCGAATCAGGTCTAGCAGAGAAGGCCGCGCCTTGAGCTTTGGCCGCAGTCCCAGCATATGCGAGCGTGATATAGACAAAGGCTCATGTGCAAATCAAGGGCTGGGCGACAAAGACAGGAAAACCATTGGTGAAGAGTTAAGATTCAGGTATTAGGTTCAGTTGACTCAGTCAGATACGGAGTACGAGACCTTGTTGCACCTGAAAGGCAGCTGACAGCGACGCCAAGGGGCCACTGAAGCTACTGCTGCTAATAAAACCGTGTACTGTAAACAAACTTAGCCACAGCGGACGCGAATCTGCGTCCATCGCTGTCAATGCTTCTCTTTGCCTCTAGCCGTTGCATGATGAAGAAATAAAATTGAGATGGATCCGCATCCTTTATCCTAGCATACATCTACCTAGGTATTCCTACAAAGTACAAGCTTTCTGCATTGCTGTTTACTCTTCTAATCTACGATGGCGTTTCAATCCGCGCCTCAATTGGCGGCCTCCATTATTAGACTCCGACTTCAACAATCTCGCTTTGATACAACAACTGCACGTAACAACATCAACGACTTTGTCTATACCAGGTGGACCAATATGCCAAGAGACAGCCATCTTAATCCTCCACATACAGTGATTTAATCTTACTACAGATATGTACATATATACGCCTTTGCCATTTAATACGCAGCGCTTCCCTTCAACGCATTATATCTGCTCGCCAACTCCTCCAGCAAATCCTTCCTCATCGCCAATGAATTCAGCGTCTTCATTCCCGCCGACAGGCCGCATTCGTCGCTGTTCACAGGATGTTCCTGCTCATCTACCACCTCGGACCTCTTGTTGAAGTGCAGCCCAGGCGCAATCGTCTGACAGTTGTTCTCGCTTCGAGCAGCCCGCAGCTGGCACAGCTCCGACGTCGCGCAGTCGCCGGTGCACGAGGCCACGTTCCAGCCACGGCTCTTGTACGCAATGTACTGGTTGAACGTGTTTGGATCTGACTGGAAAAGGGCCGTCACGTTGTGCCAGAAGGCGGGCGTTAGCTCGGCGGCCGGGTCCGTCAAGGGAGGGCTGAGCTTGGAGCCGTATGTCTCCTTGGCGGAATAGTATTTTGTCCACACCGGGCCTGTGGTTTGGAAGGCGGCGTTGGTCATGTCGGCGATGTAGGTTGTTGTGTCCAGGACGGCAAAGGTCTCGGGGTCGACGTCGTAGACGCGGAACGAGGGCATGCCCGAGGTGGGCGTCAGCGAGGGACAGATGTAGGACATCATGCTCGCGTGTGCGGCGTCCTGGCTGCTGTAGTTTGAGTAGCTGATCTCAAAGTGGTCGACGTGAGTGTGGCCGAAGAACATGGCAGCGATGGTCGACGAGTAGCGGTTGACAACCTGGTCGATGTAGTTTGACCCCGCGTGGAATGCGTCACCCACGCCCAGGGGCATGTGTCCGATGATGTAGACCCTCTCGCCCGCCTTCTCTGCAGCGTCCAGCTCACTGACAAGCCATGCAATTTGGCCATCGGGGTCCTGTTCCATCGTCTCCTGGTACAGCCAAAAGTTCATGCGATAGTAGAAGTTTGTGTTTAGAGATATGACTCTCAGGTTGCCGTTGGGGTATTTGGTGGAATAGGCGCCAAAGTTTTCAATATCGGCCTTTTCTGAAGGTCCAACCCAGCGACTCCATTCGTCAGACAGAAGATCGTACACCCACTGAGACGAGTTACTGATGGACGAAACGGGGAAAGCATTGACGGGGCTGGGTTCATGATTGCCGGCAGTGCCGTAAACGAGGCCAAGATACTGGCTCATGGATGTGTAGGCATTAGTAACTGTGTACACAATCACGTTAGCCTGCAGTAAAAGGCATGAACGGACTTGGAGTGAGTGGGAGACCAACTTGTCTGTTCGTTGTAAGCCTGTGAAGTGTTCCAGACGGCATGGTCGACGATATCACCAGTGAAGAGCGTAAAAGCCGCGTCTGGCACAAGGTCTTGAATAGCTTGATACAGGCTTGTCTCTAAGCTCACGGGAGCATCGCAATTGTGGTCTCCATTTGGGCCTGCAGGTGATGTCGATGAGCCAGGCTCGTCGGCGGCTGTATAAGGTCTTATCCATTGTCACCTCGTCAGAGTTTTGTAACTTGTTATTGCGGGAAGAACAGCTCACCTGCAGCAAATCGGCTTTGTGCAATTTGTGCTTGAGCCCGACACGTAAAGAGGGTCAACATGGATATCCGAATAGTGAACCACTTTGAGAGGCGTCTTGCCACTCGGCGCAGGGCGGCCAGTAGACGGCTTTGGAGAGGGAAAGGGAACATTCCATTGAGGAACAGTTGGCTCAGCACATAGTCCAAGGAATGATTCACAAAAGAGTTGTGCTGTCTCTGAGCCGAGATCCATTTTTCGAAGAGAGTTAGCGATGATAGGTCCCTCGAGTGCGATAGTCCCAACACAGACGTCGGTATCTTCGACCTACAGTCTCATGTTAGCCATGAATGAAGAGACATAAGACATGAAGTGTGACGGCTATTAACCTTGGCAAGTTCGCAAAGACCCGTGGCTATATCGACAAATGCGCTGTTGCCCAACTCAGCAACACCCATAAGGAGAACAAGAATGCCCTAGAATCGTGTTAGAACTCAGTTATACACACGCACATATGGTTGTGAATAGTATATGCTGACCTGGCAAGCCGTGCAGGTGGCGGCATTCTTAATGTCGTTCCAAATATCGTCTACCAAGCTTCTTGCCTCGATTGCCCTCTTGAAGTCCTCAACATCACGAGGAGAAAGGCTGCTGTGTTCAAGAGAAATCGCGCCCCAGGCAACAGAGCCCAGGGCCAATAGTGTAAGCGTCGAACTGGGACGCATGGTCAATCACGAATTCCAGGCCTGGCCGTAGAAAGATGATCTGCAGGGACCAGGAACCAGACGCTTGGCAGGGGCCTTCATCGTGTATATATAAGTTTGCGTATAGGTGCCTACATCACATTACATCTACCAGACGCCCGCCCACTTACACCACCTACATTAATTCAGCCGGTGCGGCACAAACCTCTCCACTCGAGTATACGAGTATTGGAGTCTTCACAAGGAACGTTTAGTTCACACGGAGCTTCCACCAGCTTGATCAGCAATGCGCATCGAGGCGGATGACCTTCCGAACTTCGTCTGGTTCCATCCGCGATACCACGCTGAATGAATACCAAGGCCGAAGCACCCTCCAGTAACATGCCCGCAAAGCCACCCTCCCCTGAAGCCGTTCAAAAGCGACGGTCCGGGATCGAGATCCAATCAGAGGCGAGGCCCTACACATGCATCAAGACGGACCAGCTAATTAGAGGAAAAGATGTGCGGCTTCGGGGGCTTTCTGGTGCTGTTCGGCAGAGCATGGGGGCGGGGAAGAATAGTTTGGCGGCTGATGCTGGTTGGGGAAAGCTTATGCGATGACAATAAGATCCGGTGGCCGTCTCCTTTCGTTTCCGGAACTTATGATGGGCGACTATAGTATACTAGGTAGTTGCCGTGCCAAGACGGCAGCGAGAGGATGCGCAACTTAGAAACAGCTTGAAGAGCACATCTAACTTACAATGAGGGCGATTCTTAACTATGGATGGTATGTAGAAGTGAGAAAGTCGAGTACATAAGCCATCTTCCATACTAACAGCGCTGTTGAAATCACTGACAACATCCTGTTCTAAAAAAGGCGTGTCAAATGACTGCAAAGTTTCTTGCATAAATCACGAGTCAATATATCACCAATACTACAACGTATAATTTTTGTTAGCCAGTACCAAAGCCCATTACAATCACCTGCGCGAAATTATGCATTGTTCTCGGCTTCTCTCCTCTTATAACCGAACAAAGAAAAAGCCCACGTTTCTTTACATGCTCTCGGTCACCAACTCAGGAAGTCATCCATGCTGCTAGCCTACTGTGGGTTAAAACGATGGATGAGGGGCTTGCTGTGACATCGGCCGAGACTTCAATATTCCTTACATGTGAAGAGACTTAAACGGCTTGTTCATTCTGCAGCGCCTAACCTTGCCCAAACGGTCGAGCTTGTTGCATAAGCGCTACATTTGCTTCCTGTAACGATCTTTTGTTTGGCGTTTACTGTTTTGGTTGTTGGTTTGGTGGCTGTTTTGATTGTTGTCTTGGCTGCCGTTTTGGTTGTGAAATGGTCATGTATTGACTAATAGCGGCCAGCCGCTTAAAGCCGTCATCACAAATCCAGCGGCTGGATATCCAAGACTTCAGTCTCCATAGCTCTGCCAAAGGATTTATACCATGAGCGACTAACATCACCATCAACAGTCAAAGTAGTGTCCAAAAGTGCGCGAGTATATTATACACAAATTCGTCGCCAAATCGTACAGACATCCATCCATATACAATACTTACAAACGTTGCCCGCCACTTGATTTTGATATATTCCGAGTGTCCAAGTAATGATACAAGTAGTCCTTCTGTAAACATGTTATACAGTAAGAGTAGGCTCTCCGCCAATTCACAGCCACCACCATCCTCCCATCATTTCTCCGGTGGTTGGAAGTTCTCGCGAGACACAGCTCCTCGTTCCCATGCAACATGCATCGGGCTGTCCGCTTCCTGCTGAGTACGCATCTCTCTAAAGATTTCGCCCTTCTTGGCCAGTGCCGGTAGTTTTCCTTGAAACATCTTGTACCAGTCCCAGTTTTCTGAAGGCGTAGGCGCAAGTACCTTCTTTCGCCGCTGCTTGAGTTTCGCATAGATATTGCGTGCCCTTGTATCGGGCAGCTCCGTAATGTTGTATTGAACCGACCAGTCGAAATCGTCTTCTTTTCTGACGTTTGTTGGTCGCTCAACGTGCTCGCCATTCACTTGGTTGCGAATAGTGACAAACATGCCAAAGAGTTCCCGTTGCGGCCGTCCAGGGCCTTCCGTATTTTCTGCGGCATCACTCTCGTCGCCCTCTTCTTCTTCGGCAAGCTCATCTTCGTTCGGACTTTCGTCCTTGGCAGATGCCTCTTGTTCATCACCAATGGCTTCTTCATCATCTTCTTTGGCCCTTGTAGTTAGATCGGCAAACATTCGTTGAAATGTCTTTAGATTTTGCGCCTTGTTGTCAATACCCTCTGTGGCTTTCAGGATCAAATCTGTTAAGGAAACCTTTTGTATCTCTGAGTCTGCTGTATCAAAGTTGGACCCTGAAGTTTCACGTCTCTCCCCGTCTGATGGCTCATCGGCACCAAGACCATCCTCCGTGTCGTGTTTGCGAAGTGGCCCTGTGACATCTCCTGGATCGTCAGATCTGTCTCGTAGCTCCTTAATTTTAGAAGAATGTGCCGTCAGGGATGCCACCATAGCATCCAAATACTGCTCGATTTCAAGCTCAGTCTTGTCTTTGAGTATTCCGCTTTGCTCGAGAGCCTCCTGGACCGCTTCCCTAACTGATCCTATTCCCAGGGAATCATCTTCCACTGTTTCTTCAACCTTGATCATCATATCATTCCAGGCAGCCTCGTTCTGAGCATCTTGGTAAGAAAGATTGTCAGAAAGCTGCTCCACCTCCTCATTGAACGGCAGTGATGATTCGGCCTGTGCATTTTCTCCCATGTGTTCGGATCCTTCTTCGGCTTCTGCCTTGTTAATGGCACGCTCCAATTCATCAACAGTTGATTTGTCAGCTTCCTGAGTTTTCGTCATTTCTTCCTCCGTTACCGGCTCAACAAAGAAGTAAGTAAGAGGCACCTTTGTTGGGCGAGTCTCTACATGCAGTCGAAGCGTTCGTCCTGGGAAACGCTTGGTAGCTCTATCCATGAGCTCATTCAACAGTGTGACGCTGATTTTGAACTCTTGGTCGCCGACTCGGCGATCGTTAGTTCCATGAAGAGCCACATCCATTTCATCCAAGCTGATGTACTGGAAACCAAATATTCGCTGTGTGTTGTGATATGCGACGAAGATGCCATCCATGCGGCCCATTCGCACCTGCAGGGAGTATTTCAAAAACACGGTTCGAACCATGTCGTAATACTCGCGCTCAAAAGACTCCCACTGACCGAATCGGTTCCGAATCTCGTATCCTGCCCCTTTCTCGTATCCCCGGACGTCCATTCTAACGGCAACAACTGCTCGTGTTTTCAGGTCGAACATACCGGAACCAGGAAGCCTGGGATCATAGGCATCTAGCTGTGATCGCATCATGAAGTCTCCCAACGTAGTATAGTGGAACGAGTCCTCTGCGTTTCTTTCTTCCTCTGTCAGCTGATGAGACCGCGATCTCCTATATTTTTCAAACTCCTCTTTTGGCAACGTCAGGAGCTTTTCCATGGATTTTCCAAGCGAGCTCAGAATATTTTCGGTATCGTATTCTTTGTCAGAGTCAAATGCATAGACTCCATCATTGAAGTGCGCGAAAGCGGCGGCAGGGCCACGGCTTATAGCGGTAAAGTTGTAAGATTCCGGCTCTAGTGATCGTGATAAATACGCAAAATTAGGTTTTCTCCAGGCTGAGAGGAGATAGTGAAAATGAGATAAAATCGAAGTCATGCTTGACGTTGAGCCGCAGTATTTCATGCCGTGAGCAGCACTGAGCTGTCTCAACTTTACGTCTTTGGAAGAGGTGACATAGCTCCTTAGTGCATCGAAATCGAACTCCTTCACCGGCATGATGGAAGCCAGATATGGATCAAAATTGAAAACGCGAGATCGGTCATCCTGCATGTGGTAGACTCCTGGGTTGAACAATACTCGGTCAAGGTTATGTGAGAGTTGCGGCACTGGTAGCAAGGCGTCCTCTTCAACTGGACACAGCTTCAGATGCTGGGGCCTTATAGTTTTGACATCCAAATTCGATTTGCCTTTCGCCTTTTTCCCCTTTGCTAGTTTTTTAGCTAAGGAAGTCTTGCCAGGAGGTAATTTTTCGGGGGCCGCTGGTTCCTCAGCTAAACGAGCGATCAAATCATCCTCAATTTCCTGTTCATGCTCTGTTCTTTCAACGTCATTTTCCAGCCTTTTCCTTGGGTTTGAAGATGGGCTTGAGGCTTGAAGGCGGGATTTTAATGAGGTCCATAAGCCTGCGGATGGCGGTATTACTGCATTATGGGATTCTCCCTTGTCTTTCGGGGCTCCATTTTCACCCAAAGCAAACTTTCCAGGCTCAGCAGAGCTGGGCTGCTTATTTTTCGCTGGCTTTTTACTTTTTGGTTTCTCCGAAGAGTCTTTGCGAGATTTAGTTCTTAAAGGGCTCTGTCGGCGCTTTGCCCTGGCTCTACTTCGTCCTGCTTTGCCATCTACCACTTGGGTGGTTGTGAAAGATTTTAAACTGGTCTTAATCAGAGGTTGTGGCTGGCGGAGGGCCCAGAGGGTAGCACGTTGGGCCAGTGGTCTGGCACGAAGAAATGGCTGAATCATCTCAAATTATGAGACGACGACATGCTGTTATAAAAATAGCATGGAGTTGGTTTATTGGATTGAGTATATCCCTGGCAAACCATGAAGTTCAATAGCTCAAGTACAAGGGTACATCATAGAGTTTTGCTTATCGATAGAAGATGCTGGTGCTCTCGGCAATACAGCGGAAGAGCCAGGCCCTCATGTCACTGCTTAGCGGGCGGCAGCTTGCCGTTTGCATGCGCCACACGTAATCCGCTTTGTGGTGCTGGCGCTGATGACGAACTCCCCTGCGACAGCTTCATCGCGGATCTCAAGAAGCTCCAGTCGGTTGGTACGTTTTACGAAAACAGTCAGCAGGGCTCGAGTCCTTGAGCTGCAGATATGGGTGCCAGCGACTCCAAGATAGGATTCAAGCAGGGGATATTCAGACTATCAGAGGAGCGGAACATTGCGGCGCATGACCCGTATTGGACCTCAGTGCGTGATGTCCTTGATCTCAAATGCCGCCCAGAAGCTGATGGGGTTATAGTTCTGGGAACTTCCCGAGTCGTCTGAAGATGTGTTTAGCCTCTTCTCGCCCAACGATATTCGCCGAACCCGTGACAATGCCCTAGAAAACATCGAAACCCTGGTTATTGCCCTGACAACGCGGATCTTCAATTTACGTCACCATCCATCCTTTCCAGACGTCGAGAGCGCTCCCGAAGGAGATATTCTAAACTGCATCAGAGTCTTGACCCGAATACTTCCATACTTGTATGAGAAAGAAAGTTTGGGATCATGGGAAGAGCGATTCTTTTGGACCCCGCGAAAGACAAAGGGTCGAACTTCAAATGCAGCTGAAGTGCTGTTTGATGAAGCTCAGGACGGGAAAGAGGCGCCACGGCCCGCAGCGGAAAAGCATGAAGAACTGAGGCCTCTAGCAGAAGAGTTGTTGGATACGTTGATCGACCTCCTGTTCTTCTCGGATTTCACACTGCCTCGCCAGCCAGATGGGCAGTCCAAGGTTTCGTATGCCATATGGCAGAGCGGGGTTGGATGCAATACGGCTCTCGCAACGACCAAGGAATTTGAAAGCAACCGATGCGAAATCCTCAGGCTAATTATGACTTTTGCTGGTCAAAGCATGTACACGACCCCAGCGGTGCTTCCGCAGAGGGGAGTTCGGACTCTGACTTACCTCTGCACATCTTCCGACAAGCAAATAGTGCTTTCAGTGCTCTGTTCTCTTCTAAACACCGTGAGTGCCTCGTTTTCTGTCTTCAGAAAGATATCGGAGCTAACAATTCCACCTCTAGACGTTGAAATACAATCCAGCAAGTTGGCGCGTACCATATAATAGTTTGGTTTTCAAGGACACCAAGCAGGTGCTTGTGACCTACTCCATTCACACCCTATTGGCCATGCTCATATACCCAATACCTGAAGACGCTTCTTCAACCTCCCACAAGAACTACTATCGTCATTTCCTCGGCAGAATACATCGCCCCCAAGACTTCCAGTTCATAGTCGATGGGATGACGCGGATACTCAATCAACCACTTCAGGAGAAAAGTTCCTATCTTCCTACCTCTCAACCTTCTTCGAATCTAGCTCCAGAGGTTCTAATGCTTTTCTGGGAGCTGACTCAATGCAACAAACGATTTCGGTCCTTCATTATCGACACTGATAGAGCGCACGACTTTGTTGTGTTAGCCCTGTTCTATGCTTTGGAGTACAAAAATGAGCCTTCCAAACAGGGCGTGGTGCGCATGTGCGTTTTTCTCTTGCAGACGTTGAGCGTGGAACAAAGCTTTGGTTCTCACCTCAACAAGTCATTCGAAGGCCAGGAGAGCCTTCCCGCAAGCATAAGGATTAACGGGTTTAAGGGCACCTATGCCGATTTCCTTTTGCACTCAATCTACACCTTAATTACTACAAGCCAAAGCAACTTTGCTCCCGTCTATCCCGCCCTCTTGGCAATAATTAACAACATAGCTCCACACATCGAGGGCCTGAGTACCTCCAGCAGTTCTCAGCTCATGCATTTATTTTCATCAATGTCGTCGCCATCATTTTTGCTTGCCAATGAGACCAACCATGGCCTTCTACACTCTCTCCTGGATTCCATCAACTCAATAATTGAAAACAAATACCGTGAGAATCCCGAGCTAGTATTAGCCATTCTTAAAAACAAGAAGCGCATTGAGGCACTCAGGACATTCACATTAGAAAGCGGGCAAGAGGAGATTGAGAAGATCAACAGGAGGAGGAAAGACTCTGGAGGTCATGTCGGGCCCTTTGATGATGGATCTCGACGAAGTTCTGTGGATAGTCTACGCAGTCCGACCAATGCTTTATCCAGGACCCAGTCGTTGGAAGAGACCCCCGAAGATAGCGCATTCGCCATTGGAGACGACGACGACGACGATGACGCCGACGCCGACAATGACGACAGCGAGGAAGAGCCTCAGCCAACCCCAGCAGCGTCAACCGCTAGCGAAAATCCATCTCAGGCGTCCTCTACAACCAATGTCGAAGACGCGGTACCTGTACAGATGCGAGGAATGTCAGAGAAGGCACGAGGGAAAATGCCAGCTAACATCCAATCTTTCTCTCGGCAGAATAGCTCAACAAGCCTGGGGGCATACTCCACTGCAAGCCAGGCGTACGGGGGTAACTTTGAGCCGACAGCACCATGGATCGACAGTTGGCTGCCTGAATTACCTCTTCATACCGTTCTGTCCATTATTCAACAGGCCACGAGCCTTCTGCCACGGCAAGTATCCGCTCGAGATGCGACACCCGAGACTCTGCGTCGGCTTCAAAAGATGGAATTCGTTGGTTTAGAGCCGTCTCCCGTCCGGGTTCAGTCGTTTGAGTGGTCTCAATTGGCACTTGGATGGTACGAATCGCTGCTCTGGGGGGTCATCTTTGCCAGCGAGATGCAGATTGCAAAGGGTACCATGGGGATATGGAACGGTACTTCTATCAAGCTCTTCCGAGTCCAGGAGACGGCGGCGGCAGGTCCCACTCTGACCTCACCCAGAGGGGCTGTGGATGCTGTCGGAAGCAATATCGTCTCGCGAATTGGCCAAATCAACCTTCGCGGCGGCGCAGCACCTTCAAATCCTGCCCCCAACAGGGGTGGTCCATGATGATATGCTTCTATCGCTTTATTACATTATTTCTACTATGGGAAATACAACGTCAGGAATGAGCCACGAGTTGTCAAGCGCGAGGTTTCAATGGCATTGTACAAATAGATACCATGACGAGCTGCTCTTGCTTGGCATCCCCAGCAAATCTCATCCTGCTCCGTGCGAGGCGCCGCTTGGCCCAATCACGCCCCCTGGATGAGCATATCCCTGCGTGTGCTCGGCGAGAAAAGAGGAAAGTAGCACATCAGCTTTTGGCTAGTATTCCCTCCGTTACAGCGCTACTGGGCCAATCAGACAACTTGACGTGGCTGGGAGGGCCTCGTGTTAATATCCGCAATCGTCGACACCTGACGGGCATGGGAGGGGATGCTAGGAAACGAAGGCATACAACGTATTTGTACGACTGATTACGATGGGCATCAATATTTGGCGGCTGTGTGTGATGGTTGGGCCGTGCGTCCCCCATGGCTTTACCCCAGATGGGTGTACAATGTACGTATTTGAGAGAAATTAATATTGAAAGGCAATATGCATAGTACCTTAGTACATACCTGCATATAGGAGACTGGGTAGGAGACTGGGGCTGCGACGTCATCCACGCCTCTATATGAGTCCCGTTACTTTAGCCCTTGGAGCTGCTGGCATGGAGGGAATTGAAATGTGCATTGATTAATGGGGCTTACAATGGAATTTTGTGAATGCGACATGACGGAGAACAAGAGCTGAAACGAGCGGTTTGGTCCCTGGATGAGAAGCCACGCTAGGAGCACAAACTGCGCCGTAGTCTTCACGTCGGGAGATGATCCCGCGCATGGATCGGCAATTGCCACTAAGAGGGCGCTCCCCATCGTATTAGCAGTTGGCAGCTCGAGCTCCCAGTCCAGCCGGAATCGAGACGAGGCAGCCGAACAGCGTGGGATGAAGCCCGTTTTAGTGAGGGGCCAGGCCACAAGAAGCTGGCAGCCCGTTAGCGCTACCTAGCCGCCGTTTTTACCGCGACCTGAACGACGGTCCAGACCAGCTACAGCTAACCTGTTTTGCCGTGTCTTGTTGCTGGTGTATGCGGCTGAGACAAACAATGCGTTTTGCGTTTACGAGCTTCCCTTTCCTTTGCAACCTCGTCTAGCGACTGTTCGCGAGCCTCTAGCCTCTGGCCTCCAGCATACAAATACCGTGCTGTCTCTGCTCACATGCGGCCGATGCGATGAATGCGACTCTCAACTAACACCATCCACGAGCTCCCGGCGCGCTGAGGACATCGTCCTTTTCCCTCGCCATCATGTCACAACCCACTCAATCCGCCGAGCCGACAACTCCTGCTGCTGATGGAGAGATCAAAGAATACAAGATTCACGTGAGACTTGGAAAGCCTCATACGGGCTGCTCAGATCTGAGCTCGGGTCCTTACTAACCATCTCCTTGTCTCCTCGCGCAGGCCTCGAGCAAATACCTTGAATTGACTCGGCAGAAGCTGGAACTAGCTCGGCTGCCTCGCGAGGCTCCCGACGCGAACTCCAAGGCGTGGTGGAATCCGAAGCCCACGCTGGAGCCGCTCATTGACTTTTGGTAAGTATGCGCGACGCGCGCAGTAGCCTCCAGCTTTTGAAGTTTTGAAGTTGGGGAACGTAGCAATTAATGGAAAGTCGCTAGGCTTGAGCACTTTGCCTGGAAGGAACATGAGAGTGAAATCAATGAGGCGGTTCCCCAGTTCAGAATCAGCATCCAGACTTCTGCCACTGAAGGCCCGACGCGGATGCACTTCATCCATGCGCGGTCGCGCCATCCCAACCCTGTGCCTCTGCTCCTCATTCCTCCATTCCCATTTACCAACTTGTCCTTTCGGCACATCACCGACATCTTCGCCAATCCCAATGACCC